CCGCCGCAACGAAGTCGATTTACCGCCGCGATATTTTTCCTGGACGCGGTGTTGTGGGCCTTGGTCGGGGCTAGGGCCCGGTGCAGCCCTTTCTGGCGAGGGATGGGGTTGAGCCTGGACTTGTCACTGGGCCAAGAAGAAGGAGGCGATGGTGGCAGTGGTGGGGAAAAGGCGGCCGGAGATTTCGGGGCAGTAATCGATTCGTGGGTGAGTTGTCACCCGTTCAGCTGGCTGGGCAACTGCGTCTTTGGCAGGGTTCGTCCGTCGGACTCGGATTGCGCGCGTCGCGGGTGTTGCTGCGCGGGGCGGCGCAACCTCGCGGAGGGGACGAGGAACAACGGTAGCAACATAGCCGCCACCTCCGACAGTGACAACAAGAACACCGCTACCACCGGCCCTACCATCAACGGTAGCAGCAGCAGCAGCAGCAGCGAGCAAGAGGACCCCGCGATTTCGACCGAGAGGCGACGACGAGCTCGTGTCATGGTACGCTCGGTCGGGGAGACCCTGGTGGTCGACCCCCTGTTCTTGGCGCTTTCCGCGGTGTCGAGGGGCGGCTGGGACGGTAGCCTCGCGGGCATAGCCGGAATCTCCGCGGTGTTCTCCGCGCTGCAGCTGCTGACGGAGCTGCGATACTACGTCAAGGGAGCCAGCGCGGTCCTGGAACCGGTCCCTGTTGTTCTCGTTGTTGATGATGATGATGATGATGATGATGACGGTGGTGGAGGTGGACGTACCCTGTCGAGGGACGAAGAGAACCAACACAGCAGCGTGTGGTCCGGGTCTGACCACAGCGGGTCTAGCTCTGATGATGATAGCGGGAGCTCGAGTTCGAGCTTGAGTTCGTGTTCGATCTCTGATGGACGGAGCCTAGAGACTGCTTCCGAACGGGTTGCAAGTGAGTGTTGATGACGACGGCCTCGCGCGAGGAATGTACAGAGTTGTTGGGATGCATCCGCTTCGACGACGATGGTGGGTATGTGCGGCCCTTGATTGTGCCACCACAGGAGAAACAAGTTTTTCTCGCCCGCGGTACAGAATGTTGGCCGCTCAGCAGTTGGCTCGAGCGGAGAAAACCTGGTGGATGGAACATCTGCGCTATCAGATCGTCGGGAGTGGTGCCATGGCCTCGAGCAACGTTAATTTACGAGGTTTGGTCTTCGATGAGGAGGGGGGGGGGTATGGAGGAGGACCTAGAGTAGGCATTAGAAGCAGGTTAGGGCAGTCTCGATGATGGTGGCCCGCGCATCGTTCGCTGAGCAAAGCATGAATCAACAGAGCAGAGGTGTGGGCATATTTTGGGACTTGATAGGAGGAGTGAACGACGTCGTTCTTTCAGAAGATTTCCTCCCTTTATCTCCACTCGCTTTTTTTGTGGACTAAAACTGCACTATTATATTAGCACTCGAACATGCATGTGTTTGACGACGTAGACCTAACAGACAAAAGGGTAGAACTGTTCGCGGGGGGTGAGACGACTTGGAGTAAGTCTCGGTGAAAACCGCTGCCCTCGAAAGCGGAGGTTGTCGAAGGACTACCAAGCTAGGGCGTAGCGAGAGCTCGGAGAAAGAAAATGAAGTATGACCATTCCATTCCATTTCGTTCGTCGTCTCTCTGGGAGAAAGACACTGACAGAAGACGAGCAGGCAAGTGCTACTACTGGCAAACGCGTTTCTGAGGGGGAACCCATTCGTGGAAGTTGGACCGCGACGCTCCGGCGACTTTCAATATAAACAAGGGTCTTGGGGTGATCATTTCCCCTCCCTCGTTGGCGGCTCCACGGGTTGATGGCGGAAAACCCAACGTTCCCCGTTCCGGCGGGTGGTGCCGTCCAACCAAATGGGTCGCATGAGTATACTGAGCGATGCGAGAGAGGGCATAGCCTTCAGCCCCGACTTCCCGACGAGCGCTCCTCTTCAATACAGTCCAGCAACGACCTTTCTTTTCCCCCCGGCACTACTGCTGTGAAGGAGGGGCAACATTTCGTGATGAGGGGCCGAATGTTTTGCGCTTCATGGCTCCCAACAGAAGGCCAAACTGGGGCACGAAATAAGCATCGATATATATATGTATGTGCGACTTGCTTTGGATAATCGAACAATAGAAAGAGAGGATCGCGTTACCCAATGTTGGCTGTTGGCAGCTCGTCCTTCTAGTCCAGTCCAACAAGGTAAGGGTGGACTACAGTAGTGCCGCTAAGATAATGGTCCCTCACATCTACCGTTCTTTCCGGTGTGACTCTCATCATATACCGTAGGCCTACCACACAACATACTCACACGCAATGTATGTGGGAAAACCAATCGAAGAACGAGAAGTTATGCGTGAAGGAGGTCTCTGTCTTCGGTTCCAAAACATATATTGATGACGCCTCCGCTCGGCCTTGCTAGGGTCCAGACACTTCCCTGCTTCACGTTCGGCAGAGATGCTGAGCTAAATTATCTCGACGCAGCGAACACGGATGGATTGAAAAGGTAGCAGTTGGGACAGCTCGGGCAAAATATTGCTTGCTGTGCGCACAAGTCTCAGATTGCAATTTGGTGCCTAGATGGTGAAATGGGCTCCAGTCTGCTGCATATTCATCAAGCCTGGTCACAGACAGACGGACGAAAGACGGACAGACGTGCATGACTTGTTATAGCCCCCCCCCTCGCAGTCATTTTCATTTTTTTTATTTTTCTTAATATGACACAACGAAACCATCTCTATCATAGAAAAGAGTCTGAGACAGATTAGCAATGGATTCATTTTTTTTTTTTTTTTTGCGCGCATGGACCACATTTATGTACATGCGACCCCTCTGAACAGGTTTTTTTGCAAAACAAGCGCCTCTACCGGGCCGCTCTGCAAAACAATAAGACAACCCTTTCACAATGAGTCCACGATTGATTCCCGTGGACATTTCGACATTTCTCGCCCTGCGTAAGGCATCTGCTCGAAGCGTACGGCATGGATTGGTGGCCATTCAGGTGTGTGTCCCGGTTGCATGCAGCCTACACAGAGGTTTATACCCTCGCCCTGCAACGGACCTTCACTACAGGCACGCGCCATTTATTTGCTTCACATCCGATCCACGCAAACGTTTAAAAGTCGTTAAAGAAAGGAAGTCGAGAGGTGGGTTGCATAATTTTCGGGCATGCCAACGCTTGCTGTCCCTTTTTGCGTGATCTACACATTAACATGTGCAGCATTCTCTTGCCTTCCTGAGGAGCTGTATGATTCGGGGTCACACACATCAACTCCATGCATTATTTTTTTTATTTAGCAACAAGCGTTCGAGTTCTCATGGCTCTTCGCCTATTCCTTTCGTTAAGGAGGCTGCCGTTTGGGACGTCGTCCCCCCCCAGTGGCATTCCTTCCTCGGTTCTAGAACCCTTGGGGACGCGCATGTCACCAGCACAACCGCCTCACAGCTTCCGAGGGGGTCCGACACCCGCTTAGATATCCACGACAGTGCGGAGGCCGCTCTTGAATGCTGGTGGCCATCGGCTGTCCTCCCCTTCTGCAGCCGTTGGTGCTGCGCCTTATCTTATGGCGACGGTGGCGACTGTTGCGACCGTGATAGCCGTGGTGAGTGTGGCGATTGTGGCGACTGTGGCGACTGTTGCGACCGTGATAGCCGTGGTGAGTGTGGCGACTGTGGCGACTGTGGCGACTGTGGCCGCGGTATCGCTGACGGGTCGAACCTTGTGAAGACGGCGAAGGGTCCGAACGCTAGCACTCCGGTTAGCACCTTGTTGGGTCGTTTGTGGCGGTGGTGATGGTGCCAGAAGGTGTTTGAGATTTTCGGCATGCACTGTATTCAAAAGAGGACATACATTCGTTTGTTTGTGTGAGAGATAGAATGCATAGTGTTAAGGAGTGTGGCTGCTAGCTTGAATAGGGTACATCTTATTGTTGATAGGATGTGGGTCGGTCCCAGGAGGTATACCCTTCTTCAGACCCGTACCCTCTTAGAAATAAATGTCTAGTCTGTGTACCCCCTGAGGTGAAGTTGGATCCCCACTTCACCTCAGACCCTTGCTGATCGTCTCTCAGCAATAACAAGCAACTTTCCCATCTCAACGTGGTCGTGGACAAGCGTGTCAACGACAGAACCTACCTTCATCTATCTCTAGGAGCAAGCTACCGCCCACGGCTTCACCTCCTTTAAAATAGGTATATAGAAGAAATTGAACAAGTTGTAGGGCGGACAACCGTACCCTAAGTGACATACGGTATCACACACCCTGGATCGTTTTTCAAAACTCGATTTCTCCACAGCAGAAAACGTGGCAGCACCGAAAACGGCGGACGCCGTCTCATAGAGGTCTTCATTTATGCTTCCTCTTTGCCGTGAAGTAATCGAGTGTTGAAAATTGGTCCAGGGGGTGCGGTGACTTGTGTCACCTACGGTATTTTCATCGAGCGGGTCACTTGGAGCCGTCGCCGCCCCTTCTGAAACAAGTTGGCCCTGTATCGTGGCGCGAGGTGTCCATGAAGGGGTTTGGCTTGTCGCACCTCCGATCAAAACATGCATCAAAAGTATGGGATGATGTTGATGAAGAAACATCACGTGATACAGTAGCAGAAATAAGCTATATCCAACAACGACAAGTAGGCGCTATCGGGCATGAAAGCTTGGAAGGGCTTGGCTTGTCACGCGTCCACCGTACACGCAATCGGGACGTTGCGTGTTGTTCGTTCTTCTTGCAATTCGAATAGGCATTGTGCCTGTCTATTCATGGCAGGCCGAAGCTACATAGCTCGGTTTGTTGTCGCGCCTCGCGTACATGGTCCAATGTATATACCCGGATGGATGCGGAATGTGATGAGAGGATGACATCAGGCCTTGCTTCCAACCCTGACATGCCACGACTAGCTCTCGACCATGCAACCGTTTCCCCACCCACACTCCTCAGACTCGTGCCTACCTACCTAAACCACGTGTTGCAAACCCCACCCATCGTCCAGAGGTAGAATGTGAAGGAAAGCTGGGGGCGTGTGATACGATCCACTTTTTTCCCCTGTGAACGATGGTTGAACGTGAAAAATAATGAACCTACGCAAATTTTTGGGTGTGGCTCACGCGTACATAAATGCTGAAGGGGATGATCGCAGTCGCCCGCCCGGTCGCCGTGTAGGTAAAAGTGATTGCCGAGGAAGCGTTCGCCCCGGCAAGTACGAAGTAGCCCGCAATCTGCTTAAGGATCCCGGCCTTCGTCTTGTCATAGAAAACCTTTGCCGACTGAGACGATGACTGCATTGTTTGCACGAAGGGGGCAGATGAGAATACGAATACCAACGTCGGGGGGCGCGATATGCGTAGCGTGATGAGTGCATGCAGAACGCACAAAGAATAGACCTCAAAATGACAGCGTTATGACCGATAAAACACAGCGCCCTCTCGATATGCAGTACCATACCGCAGTGATCCAGCTTCCTTGAGGAAGAGCGTACAGCAAACGGGGGTCGCGTGAGCTGTGGCCGCAGCTACAGAGCATGGTCAGACCAAAGAATGAACAAAATCCATGCCTTGCAGCCGGCAAGTGGTCACACTATGTATTTCGTCCATCGACTAGATTACCGGTACATCCTCTGCCTCAAATAGACAAATTCGTGGTGATGCTCATTGTCGGCGCGCTCTACCCACTATTTCCAGAGCATCCACGCACAAGAACCTGGGCACGGCTCACCTTAGCCCGGGCGTCGTCGATGCAGCCAACAATTTGATGTGCCACTAGGTCCGTAAGCCCAACCTTTGGGTCCCAGAAAATCCCACCGAGAGAACGAGCAAAGGGGGCAAGTATGATGGACGACACATGTGCGTTTTTTTCTCATCGTCCAGTTTATTTCTTTGTGCAGTATCATTCGTTTCTCTCCAATGCAGCCGCTCTGCGAAGTAGAGTTGGGATACACGGGAGGCTTTCTCGCCTCGAGGCCAAACCCCGGCCATCCTTCCGTATCACACGCCCCTCCCCTACTTCCCTACGCGCGCTCGCTCTCGTCGTGATCTAACCCCCTAGTCCTACCGACGACGATGACGACGACAACCCGTTGGTGGAGCGGTGAATGGAAGCAATTTTTGTCGGCTCTGCTTGCGGAAGGTTGCCTACGCCACTCACCGTTGAAGCCGCCCCCACGACAGCGATGGTATCGACAGCATGAAACGGCCACTCCGCGCCACCGAAAGAGAACGAGCCAATCAAGGAGATGCCGACCAGGAGCCCCATGCTGAGCGCTTGGACGGCTTTGAACTTGCCTGCTAGGACCTTTGCCTTCGCCAGAAAGCTGTGGTCGGGAAGCAGCTGCAGAATCGCGGGGGGTGGGGGCGTAGGTGGGGCTAAACGGCAGTTCGCCTTTTTGTAGCGGGCATTTTGTCGTTCTCGGCGGCGATGTACTACATATTTTCGTTCCCGACAGACCAATGGCAGAGATATTCATCCAGGAGGGATGTTTTCGAAAGGGAGCGCCACTCCTACGCCGAGCGGATGCAACTCTCACAACGTTCAAGACCGAGGCGGGCAAAGGGGAGCAATGTTGTGGTGCATTGTGGCTACACTTTGCTACGATCAGCTTGAGGTCTCGGTTCACCAAAGGTGATTCCGACAGAAGGCCGCTTGAAAAGGTCGAGCAACCGCGTGCGGGGCGCTCCTGTTTGAGAAAGGCGTGTATGCTGATTGATGGACAACATATCCAAGCAACGTGATAAACAAGGTTTCCGCAGCCGCCGCATATGGTCGTGAACGGTGCACCAAATCGAAGTAAGGCGACGTCGAACAGAATGCACCCAAGGCAAAGAAAGCCAGTCTGTTTTCCATATGGCTTGCTCGCTCACATGCATCGGTAAGCTCTGCGCCCAGAAGTCCACGACAATCGGGATCCCGAACATCAGAACCGGGAGAAACACGGAATAGCTTGTTTGCAGAACGTATAGCTCCGGGAGTGAACGGTTACGCCCATCGCTGTCGCCAAGGAGAAGTTGCAAGCCATTTCTGTGGCAAAGAAGCTTCGGTGGCAATGGCGACATAGAGCGCATAGTTTTGGGGTGGTGGACCACAAGGGGCAGAGGGCGAGTGCGATTCTGAAAGGCCGATTCTGAAAGGCCTTTCTCTATCGTATGCATATGAACTTCATCTCTGCTGGTCGACGGGTATTACTGTACAAGTGTGTGTGCTCGTCGCATCTATTCTGGCGCCGGTTTACAGGCCTCTCAGCGTAGATACCCGACGTATCAGCCAGGGTCACACAAGAGGAAGGTCACACAGGAGCATTCGTGTTTGTTTAGTTTTTATTGCCCCATCTTTCCCCCTGCGGTACAAGTAGAGGTGTTTTTATCTCTTCTTACCCTAGTCGAAAATATAACAGGAGGGGGCTGTCCAACAGGGCCGTCTCTTTTTGGACGGCCCAAAAACGACGAAAAGTACTACCCAAGGAAGTGGTTCTTTGGGTCACACAAGGAACAGCGGAAACTTATTATAGATTACTGACGGCAGAGTCTACATAGTCTGCACCTCTATATTCCGCGTAACACACGTCGGCCGTTCTCGTAGACCTACTCGACCTCTATCACCTTGGGGCGGAGGGGCCGATGCTTCACCCTGTTGAGTTGTTTAGTTACAGAGTAGTACGCATAGTGTCCCGGCAAACAATGCAATCATTAGACTACGTTGCTGACCAACGTGCGTTCCTAAAGTTCTCATTCTCAATATGAACTTGCACGCGCACCTGCCACAGAGCAGCACCCGAAAGCGCATGACGGCTGATCTGGACCTCCGATGAAGTCTCGAAAGCTGGCGAAACTTGTTCGCATGCCACAGGAGCCAGATCGCGGTGAGGACAGAAATGGCAGTGATTGTGGCGTACGCCGTGACAAGAACGGACCTCGGGGCACACGACGAACGGCCCATCGAGTCTCTCGACACATATCCCGAGTCACACAAGCATGTGTTAGCTCAGGAGACGGTTGTGCACGCCCCGTTTCCACCCCACAGCGGATGTCGGCACCCGCTGACGCAAGCTGTCATTAACAAGTACTTCGTACTAGCGGTTCTGCGCCAAGCTTGTCCTCAACTTATGTAGCTTGACTGGGGGCGCGGTGCTCTCGGAACCTTTGCTGTTGTCTCACACAGTCACGAAACAAACACATCTCAATTACACTAGTTTTTACCTGCAGGTTTTTTTCGAAGTAGGAAAAGAAAGACTGGGAGATCTACATGCATGTTGGGCACTTCTGTAGACGGCGCATTTACTACATGTAGGAAAGATGTACCCGTTCGAGTATATTTTGCCGGTTACAGTTTTTTTGGCATGATGCGGCGCAATTACCCGCTCGTTTTGGCGCGGCCGTCCCGTACAGTATGCATACAGCAGTACATCGTACAGATTTACCCACGCCGCCAAGACATGTTCGTAACAAGTGGAGGAGGTCCCAAGCTATACGCAGTACTTGCTAAATGACAGCTTGCGTCAGCGGGTGCCGACATCCGCTGTGGGGTGGAAACGGGGAGTGCACAACCGTCTCCGGGGCTAGCACGTGCTTGTGTGACTCGGGATATGCATCGAGAGACTCGATGGGCCGTTCGTCGTGTGTCCCGAGGTCCGTTCTTGTCACGGCGTACGCCACAATCGCTGTTACTTCTTTCTTCACCTCGATATTTCTCCTGTGGCATGCGAACAAGTTTCGTCAACTTTCGAGACTTCATCGGAGCACCAGATCGGCCCTCATGCGCTTTCGGGTGCTGCTCTGTGGCAGGTACTCGCACATTTGTATTGGAATGAAAGCTTGAAGTACTATATACGGGGGTTTAACAATGTAAACACCTGTCGAGCCACGATCTCGGTTCGTTGCCGGTGTACGAAATCGTCGCCCAGCCGCAGATAGGAATCCATCGATAGTTTCCATCAATAGTTTTGACAAGGCTGGGGTTCTTCGGCCCATGGGTTAAGCTACCAATGGCAGCTAGCTTACGCAATTAGTTCCATTGTTAGGCTCGAGTTCTTATACTCCGATAAATTTATAAATAATGTCGAGATTAAAATTCTTGGCTGCCAAGTTCTTGAGCGGGGACGCAAACGGTAGAGAAAAACCTCTCAAGAGCACATCCATTCGCTGGTTGACCCTTCTCGTCCATCGCCCCCTACTGTGCTGTCGCCATTTGTACCGAAGCTTCTTTGCCGTAGGAATGGCGTGCAACTTCTCCCTGGCAACGGCAATGGGCGGTAGCCGTTCGCTGCCGGAATTGTACGTTTTACAAACGAACTATGCGGTGTTTCTCCCGGTTCTGATGTTCGGGATCCCGATTATCGTGGACTTCTGGGTGCAGAGCCTGCCGATGCATGTGAGCGACCAAGCCCTTAGTCTACACTATACTTCTGGACATGAAACACAATGTATCTGCCAGTCGCTGCGTTGGTGTGCTCTGTTCGCCGCTTGCATACTTCGTTGCACCATTCACTGCCTTGCGTGGTGGTATAACTTCGGATAGCGCTTAGGCAAAGCGGAAGTTGGGTTCCTCGTCACTTGGGTGAGCAAAAGAGTCCAGATAACCGCGCGCTTGTAGGTTGCGCGTGTCGAAGCTGATGGACCGATTGATGCCCCCTTTCCCAGTGGAGCTGCGTAAGATGTGTCGATGGTGTCGGTGCTAGGCTTGAATACGCGGCCTTCATGTATCAGCTCATCGCCTGCTCATCATGCGCTTCCTGCGTGTGCCACGCCCGTGGGATACCTGCGGCTACAGTGGCGACTCGTGAACCATCGTGATCGCTCATGATTTGTACGGTACGCGAGGTGTTCCTGGGATGCACCGCCCACGGCGGTTGCTCATGATAGGCCGTAGGGTGCTCATGGGACGACGGTATATCTTGGGTTGCCATGCGTGGGAGCGCCCAAGGCTGTCGTGGAGGCTCATAGGTTGGAGCTTGGTGTCGAAGGATCCCCCGATGGCCCATAAGTCACGAAAGGACGCCTCGTGGGCTCGGATGCGTCGCGATATTAACCGGAACGACTCCCGATGTGATCGTTAAGATTCGGATAAACCGCTTACGTGTCGTCCGCTAGGAGACGTCGGTCCTCACTGGCAGCGCATAGACCGCCGTTGACAAGCTCACGGCGACCCTAGAGTGGCCCGCTCAAGCATACACATGCCGCCAACGACGGCTCACGGCAACAGATCGGCCGTCACTAGTAAATAGTCCATATGCAAGTTGCGGGGCTCCATGGGATTCATCATTTGCGTGGTAAAACGCCTCATCAATATTAGTGAGACCCGTAAGGCAGCCCGTGAGCCGTCCGATGGCTCATGAGCCGCCCGATGGCCCATGGGCCGCTGGTGAGCGAATGAGCCGCCGCCCGTGGCCCCATATGGGCTTCGATGACAGTCCATGAGCCGTCTCATGGGTTGAGAACTCAAGACACCCCCTCATGTCCTACGTCCGCCACAGGCCGTCTGCTCCTTGATGGTAGTCCATATGACGTCGCGCGCACGCTCTATCGAAATAACCCATGCTGACAAACCTCGCTGTGGCTCCCTTGTGGAGGGTGTGTACAAGGCTGATTACCTACCTAGTCGTGCTTCAGCATGGATACCTCTTCTCACAGGGGAGGAGTGGCTATCAGGCGGCTACTCGACCTGTCCAGGCAGGCTTTCTGTCGAATCACCTTTGACTGCCGTGACCTCTTTTTTTCTCAACAAACAAAATCATGCTGTCCCCCTTCCCCCGCCTAGGCCCTCGAGAATGGTGCCAGTCGCATCACACTTGGCGTACATTGTAGGAGTGACGCTCCGTTTTGCAAAGATGTGGCGAAACATCTTACCACATGGTATGTTTGTCGCGAAAGAAAAGAGAAGTCAATCGCCGCCGAGAACGACAAAATGCCCGCTACAAAAAGTCTAACCACCGCTAAGCCCCACTTCATCTCCCCCCCCCGCGCGCGGTCTGCAGCTGCTTCCCAACCACAGCTTTCTGGCGAAGGCAAAGGTCCTGGCAGACAAGTTCAATGTCTTCCAGGCGCTCAGCATGGGGCTCCTGGTCAGCATCTCCGTGGTTGGCTCGTTCTCTTTCAGTGGCGCGAAGTGGCCGTTTCAAGCCGTTGACACTATCATTGTCCTCGGTGCGGTCACAACGGTGAGAGCCGTAGCCAACCGATCAGAGCCGCCGAAATGATGTTTCGTTCACCACCCCGTCAACGAGTTGTCGTCGTCGTCGTTGTCGTTAGGACTTGTAGATCACGACGGGAGCGAGCGCGCGTAGAGAGGTAGGGGAGGGGCGTGTGATATGGAAGGATGGCCGGGGTTCGGTCTCGAGGCGAGAAAGTCTCCGGTGCATCATAGCTCTGCTTCGCAGAGCGGCTGCATTGGAGAGAAACGAATGATACTGTACAGAAATTATGCAGGATGATGCATGAACAAGGAGCGCGTCGTTCGCCGTGCGTGCCCGCTTTGCTCGTTTGGTCGGTGGGAACTTCTGGAACCCAAAGGTTGGGCTTACAGGCGTCTTGGCACACCAAATTATTGGCTGCATCGACGACGCCCGGGCGAAGGTGAGCCGTGCCCAGGTTCTTGCGCGGGGGTGTTCTGGAAATAGTGGGTAGAGCGCGGCGACAATGGGCATCACCATGAATTTGTCTGCGCGATGCTCGTGTTCTTGCGTGATCCGTGGCCAACCAAGGGCTACTGCAGAGGGCTTTGGGCTAGACGTGGTTGTCGCGCATCACGGTTTGTCCTCATTCTTGTCCCAGCCTCTTCTTCAACAGTGCTTTTCGAACGACAGAAGCACGAAGCTCCAAGAACAGAGGTACTCAGATTGATTCGATCCCAATTTCGAACGGATGGGCAGAGATAGAGTTCTTGTTTGAGTGGATGAGAGAGCGAGCGAAGGAGAAAGAGAGAGTGAGAGTAAACAATTTGGGGCAGAGAATGTACCGGTAATCCAGCCGATGGGCGTTTTACATAGTGTGCCCACTGCCGGCTGCATCGCATGGATTTTGTTCATTATCTGGTCAGACCGTGCTCTGTAGCTGTGGTCATGGCTCACGCGACCCCCGTTTGTTGTGCGCTCTTCCTCAAGGAAGCTGGATCACTGCGGTATGGTACCGCATATCGAGAGAGCGCTGCCATAACGCTGTCGTTTTGAGGTCTGTTCTTTGTGCGTTCTGCATGCACTCATCACGCTACGCATATCGCGCCCCCCGACGTTGGTATTCGTATCCTCATCTGCCCCCTTCGTGCAAACAATGCAGTCATCGTCTCAGTCGGCAAAGGTTTTCTATGACAAGACGAAGGCCGGGATCCTTAAGCAGATTGCGGGCTACTTCGTACTTGCCGGGGCGAACGCTTCCTCGGCAATCGCTTTCACCTACACGGCGACCGGGCGGGCGACTGCGATCATCCCCTTCAGCATTTATGTACGCGTGAGCCACACCCAAAAATTTGCGTAGGTTCATTATTTTTCACGTTCAACCATCGTTCACAGGGGAAAAAAGTGGATCGTATCACACGCCCCCAGCTTTCCTATTCGGGGCGAGCTTGTTTCCATGGGGGCGGGAGGTTCGGTCTTGGAATGCCGCCGACAGTACGAAAAGCACGTCCTACATACATGGACACATCGCCTGAGTGAAGCACTTCGAACAAACAAGCCAGTGTCCTCTTCGACGTTAAATTCATTGTGCGTTGTAGTCTCAAACCTCCCCTGGAACCATCACCACCGTCGTCGTAAACGACTCAACAAGGTGCTAACCGGAGTGCTAGCGTTCGGA